TAACATAGAACTCTTCTAATCAAATGATATTTTCATATATCAAGTTATCAAGTTCAATTTTCTTTTTGTAGTTCACTTCCTCTAACCTCTCTCATTCTAAGCTCTATACACCTATGTTAACTTACTCAAAGTATCTATATCAAGTTCAATTTTCTTTTTGGAGAACTTTTGAGTTACTATTTAGTTCAAATTGGGCGTGTGTCGCAGTTGCTTTGCAACCACCTCAACCAAACATTAATGCAAATTTGGCTCAACTTTAATGATTTGTCTCTGCCAATATAGTTTCAAGGCTATAAATTTCTTTGAGTTTCCAATTGAAGGAACTAAGGGCCCTACTACAACATTGCTTTAATTCTTAATTCATCTTTCTCATAAATTCTTTTCTTGGGCAATTTTGCTTCAGTTATATTCCTATATACAGAATATACTTGATTAAAGAGGATGAGTGTACATTATTTAAGGCATTGAAACTTTTTTGAAGCATCTGTATTCTGTAGCTTTTTCATGTAGGATTGATCTAAATAATAAAGTTCTTACAGCGATAATGGCTCTTTAACCTAAATTCCTTCTATTATCAAGAGTCAAACAGAGAAGCTAGGAGAAAAGTTTAAGTGATAAAATAGTTCTAGGAGTCAAGAAATAAGGCCTAATTTATAAATGTTGAGTAGTTATGAGAATCTGATTATCAATTTAGACAATTTTAATTTTTAGCTTTACAAAATGAAAATTAAACTCCTACCTATGATTTGATTTTCTTATTTGTCTACCTTATCTATAAAAGATTATGAGTTGGACCCAAAGTTGTTTAAGACAATGAATATCCATTATCATTTCATATCTTAATTTAATGATCGTGTTGGGATACCGTACAAGCTCTTCTAGGTTGATTTTTTGCCCCCTCTGTTTTTTCCTTTTACTATGCTTTTCCTTTTTGAATAAACATATAGTCAGCTTTTAAATTTAGAATATTTATAATTGAGTTGCTTTCTTTGCTAGTGAATCATACATGGAGTATGGGTGAGTAAAGGGAGCTGATGTGATATAAGTCCCTTAATTATAGCCTCTTTCCTTGATTCTTGTTGCACTTAGCTTAATAAATTACATTTTTTTAATTTATTTTTACCAATTTCTTTGTATCCAAGTAATTACCAACTTTAAATTAATCTCTATGTACTTCACTTAAGAAAATTTTCCATATGAATTATTAATTTGATAACAAGAATTGATCAGGGAGAACTGAGGGGATTGTTGTATGACTCCCGTGGCTTTGACCGGGGAAGCGGATCCTTGACGGGGCCTCCCGTGGTCTTCGAGTTGCCAGGGATCAGATGTTGAGTGGCCTGTGCTCACGAAAAACACGTCAAAGGGCCATGGTTGGTCCATGACAGAGCCTCCCTGATGCTTAAAACAAAGACAGATTGTAGTTGAAAGAAAAAAGCGAAAATGAAATGAAGGGAACTTTCAGCCTTTGGCAGTAAACCCCCAATAACTTTTGCGATTGCAGAAGTTTCTGCATTTTGTGGATAACCCCCATAAATTTGAACCAATATATAGCCCACATAAAAAAATAATTTTGAGGGAGAGTTTCAAAAAATAAAAAATAAAGACACAATTAGGGTTTGGAACCCCAATCTGAACGCGAGAAGAGAATGAATAACAAAGGGAAGAGATTTCTATTTTTAGGGTCGTTGAAAAAAAAATGTCATTAGGAGGGTTTTAATAATTTAAGGGATATTTTGGTATTTTTAAGTCAAGGGAGTCACATCTGGCTGTCATGCCAGATGTAACAGTGGTAACTTTTAGGGTTTTTTTTAATAAAACTTACTGTGCAATTTTGAAAATTATTAGGGTTTACTGCAAAACTCTAAAATTTCATGGAGCTTTCGTGTAATTTACCCTTTAAATTATAAATGCATATGCTTATTTTATTCCAGTAGCAGATCCCAATTGGTTGCTAGCTCGATGTACATGAGATCAGAGATGACGTATTTGACGATACTACAAATTAACAAAGCTATTTCCCCCCTGTTTTTTCATCTTCATCTGTTTTCGCGAGATTAATGACTCAAAGCACCTAATTGTACTGTTAGGATACGTATAATTAACCGATCAATTAATCGTGTATATTTACGATGATGTGATCAATTCGTGTGATCAGGCCGTAGCATGGGGGCATGTGAACATGATAGAGGCAGAGCGGCGGCTCCTCGCCAACGCCCTCCTCGACTTCTCCAACCAGCGCTTCGTCCTGCTGTCGGAGTCCTGCGTCCCGCTCTGGAACTTCCCCACCATCTACTCCT